TCCTCCTCTCCTCCTTCTCCTCCTCCTCCTCTTCTTCTCCTCCTCCTCCTCCTCCTCCTTCTTCTCCTTTTCCTTCTCCTTCTCCTTTTTTGAGACAGGGTATTTCTCGGATACCCAGGCTGGAGTACAGTCCTGCCATCACAGCTCACTGCAACCTCGACCTCCTTGGCTCAAGTGACCCTCCCACCTCAGCCTCCCAAATAGCTGGGACTACAGGTGTGCAGCACCACGCCCAGCTAATTTTTAAACAATTATTTTTTATAGGCTGGGCAAGGTGGCTCATGCCTTTAATCCCAGCACTTTGAGAAGCCGAGGCAGGCGGATCACTTGAGGTCAGGAGACCATCCTGGCTAACATGGTGAAACCTCACCTCTACTGAAAAAAAAAAAAATTAGCCAGGTGTGGTGGTGGGAACTTGTAAACCCAGCTACTTGGGAGGCCAAGGGAGGAGAATTGCTTGAACCTGGGAGGTGAAGGTTTCAGTGAGCCGAGATTGCACCACTGCACTCCAACCTGGGCAACAGAGTGAGACTCCCTCTCAAAAAATAAAATAAAATAAAAACAAAGAAAAATACAAAAATTAGCCAGGCGTGGTAGTGGGGACCTGTAGTCCCAGCTACCCAGGAGGCTGAGGCAGGAGAATCACTTGAACCCAGAGGCGGAGGTTGCAGTGAGCCAAGATCATGCCACTGCACTCCAGCCTGAGCAACAGAGTGAGACTCCATCTCAAAAAAAAAAAGAAATAAAAATAAATAAATAAATAAATAAAATTATTCTTTATAGAGATAGGGTCTTGCTATGTTGCCCAGGCTGGTCTCAAACTCCTGGACTCCAGAGATCCTCCTACCTCGACCTTCCAAAGTTCTGGGATTATAGGCATGAGCCACGGCACCTGGCCTACATTTCACTTACGTGATGACTCTGTCTCAAATCCCGACCTCTCCCCAGTCCCTGCTGTGTTTTCTCTGTGCTCTGTCACGTAGCATGCGTTTTACCTGAGTTGTTTGGTGCCTCCCTTTCCCCCGCTACAGAGCTGGGCTTTTGGTCTGTTCTGGTCGCTCTCCCATCCCCAGCTCTTAGAACCTGCCTGGCACGTGGTAGTGCTCAGTGCGTGCTTGTTGAATGAATGAGTGATTCACCTAGCCACATGGAGCCCATGTTCCTGCAGCGGACTATCCCTGCCCTGAGCCCATCCGCTACCCTCAGCTCCGGCACCCCCTTTAGATGGTGCATAGGCCCCTGTTTACCACAGTCCCTTGACTAGTGTCACATATTGCTGTCACGACGTATTTTAAGAAGCATTATGACAGCATGGATAGGTTGCCTGTTTAATTCCATAAGCTCCAGGTGCGACAGCCTCATGTGCGAAGGCCTTTCCCACACCTCCTACCCCGAGCCACCGCCGAGGAGCCCCTTCCCTGGCCGGGCTCAGGCAGCTGTTCTGGAGCCTCGTGGTGGGGCGTGGAGCCCTCGTCAGTCTCCTCATAGGCATGCTTGTCCCTTCCCCTGCAGAACGTGCGCATCGACCCCAGCAGCCTGTCCTTTAACATGTGGAAGGAGATCCCAATCCCCTTCTATCTCTCCGTCTACTTCTTTAACGTCATGAACCCCAGCGAGATCCTGAAGGGCGAGAAGCCGCAGGTGCAGGAGCGCGGGCCCTACGTGTACAGGTGAGGCTGTGTCCAGGTGAGGGTGGAGGGGCCGGCTGAGGCTGGGCAGGGGAGGGGTCTCAGAGTGGACGGGATGGGGAGGGTGCTGACTGAGCCCCAGAGATTTTGCCGGAAGCAGGCAAGGCATACTCGGGGGAAGTGCTAGTCCCAGAGAAGTTTTTGTTTTAGTGTTTTGTTTTTTTTTTGTAGAGATGGGATCTTGCTGTGTTGCCTAGGCTGGTTTTAAGTCCTGGGCTCAAGTGATCCTCTGCCTCAGCCTCTCAAAGTGCTGGGATTCCAGGTGTGAGTCACCAGACCTTACCTAGAGAGGTTCTTTATGGAGCAGGGAGGGACCAATGGTG